TAACATGTGAACTTATATGGGTGAAACAATTCCTTCAAGAGCTTAAATTTTGTGACATCCATACTATGAAGATGTATTGCGACAATCAAGCTGCTCTCCACATTGCATCAAATCCAGTGTTTCACGAGAGGACTAAACATATAGAAATTGATTGTCATTTTGTTCGTGAAAAGTTGTTGACCAAAGAAATATGTACTGAGTTTATTGGGTCAAACGATCAACTCGCAGATGTATTGACCAAGTCATTAAGGGGTCCTCGGATTGAGTTTATTTGTTCCAAGCTTGGTACATACAATTTGTATGCTCCAGCTTGAGGGGGAGTGTTAGGATATTTATCCTATTTTATCATCATTATAGTGTGTCAAGGGTTACCCTATTTATCATGATTATATTGTGTCTAGGATTACCCTATTTATCATGATTATATTGTGTCTATGGTTACCCTATTTATCATGTACTTGTGTATCAATTTATTCTTATAAATAGAAGATTGTGAGAGGGATCAATCAAGCCCTCTAGAATTATTTTACAGTTTCAATCTTAAGTATCCTAATATCTCTATAGTAATTGAGAAAAAATATCCTTAGAATCTTAACATTCATTTCATCATATTTTATTTATGTTTTTAAGATAAAGTGATTGTCACAAATAGATGATTTGAGAATATAATTAGAATGATTGTAATTAATACTATATTTCTTTATTCTCCCATTATTCAAGTACTCTATAAATAGAGTATCAACACTTCTATTATGGAGCTTAACCCTGAACTTCAGACTTAATAAGACAAATTAGAGTTTTCTCTCAAAAATTTCGAAATCTATGAAGTTAATATCAACTTGAGTATTTATACTATATCCTCTCTTTTTCTGAGCAGTTGCAGTGTATAAATAACTTTGTAACTACTGCAGTAGCAGTTCTCTCTTTTACACTGTTTACTTTTGCCTCTCATCTTTGTATTGTGGTGTAAAATCTTTTAATTCTTTTACCAATTGTTTCAACTGCTCAGGTCTATCAAGAGGAGAGTGATAACCTCTGTAATAAGAAATCAAAACTAGCAGCTGTTACTCTAAGAAACCTGTTAGTTTAATGACCCTATCAGAGGATATAAATAAGTGAAAGGAGAGTAGCTTCTCATGTTTTTGTAGTGGACGACTGGTCGAGTTTCTGCATCTCTCGAATATCCAAATCATTCATCCTTCCTATTCTACCTAATCTGGTGCTATACCGATATGTTGACTGGTCAGAAATTAGTGGTCCTCAATAAGATTTTTTTGTTCTTTGTCCAATTTCTAAATCAACTGTATCATTTTGCTCTCTCTATACCTAAAGTCTCGTGATTTCACCATTTTTAGTTTAAAAAATAAAAAATATAAAGTAAATATTATTCTGAAAAGCATGGATAGATAGATAGGAACAGATGTCAAAAACGAACACACTCAGGTGATAAATATGAGGGAATCATGTGCATCTCATTAAACTTTTGTTTTTGAGTTAATTTAATGTATATTTAATGCATGGCATCAGTAGGGATAGAATCATACTTATTTATTTATCTTGAATATAGAAAATCTGATTCCAATCATGAAAACAAGACTGATGAGATTCAAAAGACAGAACATACTCCAAGAGGTTCTCCAAATTCATCTACTTCAGGGAAGCTTCCAATTTGGCCCATATTTGAAGGACTCTGGCTTATATTGTCATCAACGTACCTGCTACATGTATCATTGTTCATCTGGCTGAGTGCAGTTGTCTCTTCATTCTTCTATTTTCAGGTTATTTAATCTTCTGTCCTGTTATAAAATCTTTAGTTTTCATCATTTTGTATTACAAGTTTACCTGAATCATTAGAATGTGTGCTGACATGTATCAATGAGTAATGCAATCGATACACCACTATTGATTGAAATACTGAAACTAATTATGTTGAGTTCCACTTATTTATTGAGTTTCACTCATAATCATTTAGTTTCTAACAAATTTTAACCAATGGTAGTGTTTGAGAGTTTTTGTTGCTAACACTCTTGATATATACAAAACTCTATTGCATAACAAAATTCTACTAACATGTTTCCTTTTCATCAAATTTTCTGAAAGACATAGCAAGGTAAAGCCAAATCTAAGAAGTGGTGCTCGTGAAATGGGAGGACTAAAACATGAAAATATTTAGTAAAGAAATAGTGCCCCAAATTTGAAGGATTAAAAACATATTTAAGCCTTTAAAGAACTTTCAAAAAACAATGTGACTCGATACCTCTTACAGATTAGTTAATCATTAGCGATTTCAAATTTTAGGAAATTAGGATCATTGATCCTTGATTCTTGATTCTTAGGCTAGAATTTATTGTATTTGATTATGTAAATTAATATAAATACGTACTTTGTGGTCTACATTAGAAACAACATTCAAATAACTCTTTCTTATATGATATTTATAGATATATTGCATTTTATGTTAATTAGGGAAATATAGTCCCTATGTTAATTATGTTTTTTTTAGATATTCATTTGTATTTGGGCTTAGTCCACATTCTCATTATTATAAACAAATTATCCTATGCGTATTTTCTACACAAGGAAGATTAATCCTATATATAGTTTTACTATACTCAATATGGTATCTAGAGCCTAAAGCTTTTTCTTGAAAAAGAGAATAAATTTTATTATTTTCATTCATGTCTATTACATTCTTCTTACCTGTATTTGTAACAATCTAATCTTCTAAAAAAGGAAAATATGGAAACAATATACTAAAATCTCCTTACCTATAGATATTTTCTTTAATTATGAACATTTTCCTATAATTACAACACTCCCCCTCAAGTTGGTAAATGAATATCAATCATTCCCACTTGCCTACAAGATCTTGAAATCTACCCGGAGGGAGCCCTTTTGTAAAAATATATGCTATTTGAAGTTCTCTAAGAACATGAGTTGTAATCACGAAGCTTCTGTCTAGATTATCTTTGATGAAATGTTTGTCAATCTCAATGTGTTTGGTCCTGTCAAGTTGTACTGGATTATGGACAATGCTCATGGCAGACTTACTATCACAGTGTAATTGCATAGGGTGATCCACCTTGACTTTAAGGTCATCCAAAATGATTTTCATCCAAAGTCCTTCACACATTCCTTGAGTATGTGCTCCGAATATAGCTTTTGCACTAGAACGAGAAACTCTATCTTGCCTTTTGCTCCTCCACGTTACCAGACTATCTTCAAGAAACACACAATACCGAGAAGTATATTTTCTATCAATAATAGAACTTACATAGTCAACATTAGTATATATTTTCATAGTCAACGTGTCTTCCTTTTGAATAATATCCCCTTTCTTGGACTTGACTTCAAGTACAAGAGAATTTTGTCAATTGCTTGCATGTGTCTTTCTTTTGGATCATGCATAAATTGGCTTAGTACACTAACTGCATAAGCAATGTTTGGTCTTGTGTGTGATAGATAAATCAACTTTCCTACCAATCTTTGATACTGGGCATTCTCTACAAAAGCACTTTCTTCACTTCCAATTTTTTGATTCTGTTCTATAGGAATTGTTGAGGTTTTACATTCCAACTTTCTTGTTTCTTTGAGGAGATGAAGTACATATTTCCTTTCAGAGATTAAAACTCTGTTCTTGGAGTAAACAACCTCTATTCCAAGAAAATATTTGAGTTTTTTAGATCTTTCTTTTCAAATTAGGTTGCCAATTTTTCTGTTTCATCATCTCCTCCAATAATCATATCATCCACATAGGCAAGCAATAGAGTGAGTTTACCTGTAGAGGTGTGCTTTATGAATAGTGTATGATCTCTTTGGCTTTGTCTGTATCCCAAGGGAAACATTGCTTTTGTACATCTTACAAACCATGCTCTAGGTGATTGCTTACAATGCTTTCTTTAGGAGGCGTACCTTGTCTCTTTCATTTTTCAGTTCAAAACTTGGGGGAATCTCCACGTACACTTCCTCTTCTATATTTCCATGAAGAAAGTCATTCTTCACATCCAACTGGTGTAAGTCCTAACCAAAATGACCAGCCAAAGCGAGAACAACTCGAACTGTAATTATCTTTGCCACCATGGAAAATGTCTCCTCATAGTCAATCCTATAAGTTTGGATATAGTCTTTTGCCACCAATCTAGCTTTATATCTTTCTATTGTCCCATCCACCTTATTTTGTACCGTGAATATCCATCTACACCCGACTGTCTTCTTGTCTCTTGGCTTATCAACAATCTCCCAAGTTGAATTTCTTTCTAATGCATTCATCTCTTCTTTCATGGCTTGATTCCAATGTTCAAGTTTTATGACCTCTTGGATTGAGGTAGGAATTTCTGTGGCATCAATTGCAGCAATAAAGNGCGACAATCAAGCTGCTCTCCACATTGCATCAAATCCAGTGTTTCACGAGAGGACTAAACATATAGAAATTGATTGTCATTTTGTTCGTGAAAAGTTGTTGACCAAAGAAATATGTACTGAGTTTATTGGGTCAAACGATCAACTCGCAGATGTATTGACCAAGTCATTAAGGGGTCCTCGGATTGAGTTTATTTGTTCCAAGCTTGGTACATACAATTTGTATGCTCCAGCTTGAGGGGGAGTGTTAGGATATTTATCCTATTTTATCATCATTATAGTGTGTCAAGGGTTACCCTATTTATCATGATTATATTGTGTCTAGGATTACCCTATTTATCATGATTATATTGTGTCTAGGGTTACCCTATTTATCATGTACTTGTGTATCAATTTATTCTTATAAATAGAAGATTGTGAGAGGGATCAATCAAGCCCTCTAGAATTATTTTACAGTTTCAATCTTAAGTATCCTAATATCTCTATAGTAATTGAGAAAAAATATCCTTAGAACCTTAACATTCATTTCATCATATTTTATTTATGTTTTTAAGATAAAGTGATTGTCACAAATAGATGAATTGAGAATATAATTAGAATGATTGTAATTAATACTATATTTCTTTATTCTCCCATTATTCAAGTACTCTATAAATAGAGTATCAACACTTCTATTATGGAGCTTAACCCTGAACTTCAGACTTAATAAGACAAATTAGAGTTTTCTCTCAAAAATTTCGAAATCTATGAAGTTAATATCAACTTGAGTATTTATACTATATCCTCTCTTTTTCTGAGCAGTTGCAGTGTATAAATAACTTTGTAACTACTGCAGTAGCAGTTCTCTCTTTTACACTGTTTACTTTTGCCTCTCATCTTTGTATTGTGGTGTAAAATCTTTTAATTCTTTTACCAATTGTTTCAACTGCTCAGGTCTATCAAGAGGAGAGTGATAACCTCTGTAATAAGAAATCAAAACTAGCAGCTGTTACTCTAAGAAACCTGTTAGTTTAATGACCCTATCAGAGGATATAAATAAGTGAAAGGAGAGTAGCTTCTCATGTTTTTGTAGTGGACGACTGGTCGAGTTTCTGCATCTCTCGAATATCCAAATCATTCATCCTTCCTATTCTACCTAATCTGGTGCTATACCGATATGTTGACTGGTCAGAAATTAGTGGTCCTCAATAAGATTTTTTTGTTCTTTGTCCAATTTCTAAATCAACTGTATCATTTTGCTCTCTCTATACCTAAAGTCTCGTGATTTCACCATTTTTAGTTTAAAAAATAAAAAATATAAAGTAAATATTATTCTGAAAAGCATGGATAGATAGATAGGAACAGATGTCAAAAACGAACACACTCAGGTGATAAATATGAGGGAATCATGTGCATCTCATTAAACTTTTGTTTTTGAGTTAATTTAATGTATATTTAATGCATGGCATCAGTAGGGATAGAATCATACTTATTTATTTATCTTGAATATAGAAAATCTGATTCCAATCATGAAAACAAGACTGATGAGATTCAAAAGACAGAACATACTCCAAGAGGTTCTCCAAATTCATCTACTTCAGGGAAGCTTCCAATTTGGCCCATATTTGAAGGACTCTGGCTTATATTGTCATCAACGTACCTGCTACATGTATCATTGTTCATCTGGCTGAGTGCAGTTGTCTCTTCATTCTTCTATTTTCAGGTTATTTAATCTTCTGTCCTGTTATAAAATCTTTAGTTTTCATCATTTTGTATTACAAGTTTACCTGAATCATTAGAATGTGTGCTGACATGTATCAATGAGTAATGCAATCGATACACCACTATTGATTGAAATACTGAAACTAATTATGTTGAGTTCCACTTATTTATTGAGTTTCACTCATAATCATTTAGTTTCTAACAAATTTTAACCAATGGTAGTGTTTGAGAGTTTTTGTTGCTAACACTCTTGATATATACAAAACTCTATTGCATAACAAAATTCTACTAACATGTTTCCTTTTCATCAAATTTTCTGAAAGACATAGCAAGGTAAAGCCAAATCTAAGAAGTGGTGCTCGTGAAATGGGAGGACTAAAACATGAAAATATTTAGTAAAGAAATAGTGCCCCAAATTTGAAGGATTAAAAACATATTTAAGCCTTTAAAGAACTTTCAAAAAACAATGTGACTCGATACCTCTTACAGATTAGTTAATCATTAGCGATTTCAAATTTTAGGAAATTAGGATCATTGATCCTTGATTCTTGATTCTTAGGCTAGAATTTATTGTATTTGATTATGTAAATTAATATAAATACGTACTTTGTGGTCTACATTAGAAACAACATTCAAATAACTCTTTCTTATATGATATCTATAGATATACTGCATTTTATGTTAATTAGGGAAATATAGTCCCTATGTTAATTATGTTTTTTTTAGATATTCATTTGTATTTGGGCTTAGTCCAC